AGGCAGCCTTCAATTTTGTGGTCAATCACCTCACTACGCACGGCCATTTTTCCGTGGTTGTTTCATTTGAAACCAAACTACAAAAAGTGGGAAAAAAATGTATGTGACATCCGAACTATTCATTAATGTCAGACTTCAGTTAATACGTGAATACGAACCATTTTATCGCGGACTATGTTTTGCAAGGTAATGTTACTGCAGTGAAATGGCGCACGTGATACACTAAAACTTGGAGGAAAAAACGTTCTGTTAACGAATATAGTTGGGAAAAAAACATTAAATACTAATTTCACTGAAAGGGGTTTCCTAACATTTCCATTCATCTTGTATTCTGGTGAATATTTCAATACTATTTCTGGTTTGAACGGGTTCGATTTTCCGCGTCTAACTGTCATAGAACACAAAGGTTCTTGTAAATTTATAAAGTTAGTCATTTATTGCTTTCTCATCTGGGAAAAGATTTCACTTTTCTAACGCAATTCATATATATTTTAATCTAATTAACGGAACATTTATTCGGAGCCATGGCGTGAAACGTCTTTTCAAATCGATTAAAGTAACCGAGTGACTTACGCCTAACTTTGTTAACCGACAGGGTCTTGTAGTTCGAACATATTCGATTATGCAAATGAGTCCTATGCAAAGCTGCTTTGTGCAGTGATGATAAGTAAAATAACGCGTATCGAACTGTGCGGAGTTCGACTTAACCCTGCAGTACATGTTAAGAACCATTACTCAGTAGCCATGGCAACGAAGGTGAATATTCATTGTGCTCGGCGTTTTCGATCCGCCTCATGAAAAAATGACCTTTTTTTTATTAAACCGAATAAGATTTTCAGATCACCAGTAGCTGGTGGGCTGAAGTCGCGAATCTTGAAACGAACATAGGGTAGAGGCGTCCGAGCAGGGCAAGGTAACAAGAGAACGAAATTCAACCACGGTTATACATCCTTCCTACATGAAAGAAATTGACACCGCTGTGTAGTTAATTATTAACGCACAGCAGAACGCGGTGGACGATCGCTTGCATCACGGTTACTAAAAAACCGTGCTTGCATGTACACGCCGTCGAATAAGCACTGCTCGCAACATTTCCTGATATATTCAGCCTTTTGACCAAACAGTAACGTGTCTTAAATAGCAGACCACTATAGGGTTCCTGCTGATATGTTATGATGTACTTACCTATAAAAAATATAAATAATATCGGAGATGCAAGATCCAATATCGCACGATGCTCTTAGTACAGTAGCATTTTATCAGGGGGCTAAGGAGTTGTATCCGAGTCCTTAGTTAAATGTTCATTGCTCAGCAAGAGTGACACACCTGACAAAAAATATTTAATTTGTTCTCGTTATTATGACGTGTATTTATTCACTATTTTTAGATATGTTATTTTATTTATCATCATTATATTTTGTATTACATTAATTGTCGCAATTAGAAAAAAATATTGGTTCTCATGTAGTATATCTCACAATATCTCCCGAATTATCGCAATATGGAAATTTAAAGAGCGGTTGTCGCCGCACCACGTCCAATCTGATTAAAATCTGATGTAGTGTACGGGCTTTAATTATTTTGGCTATAAACATATTTTAATTTTATTTTTTATACTTTTTGTTATTAATTCCTTATTTTATTATTATTTTACTTTTATTTTGATTTTGTGTTTTGTTTTGTTTTAATTCCGCCCTACCTACATCTGATCCGACGCCTATGTAAGTTCCGTTCAAATCTCGCGTAAGTAACAGCCAATCACAGCCCCCCTTTTATACAGGCTGTCGGTTGCTCACTTTTCAGTGTAGCGATACTCTACTTCTGTACATTATATTTTGCCCACTTGAATAAACCATTAATAGAAAATTGCTAGTATATTTTTATTTACAAAAGAAATTCCACAGCATTTTAC